GATCTTAGTAACCCAAGAGAGTGTGGACTAGATGGAATATGTTGGAGAGAGATTTTTAAGCAAGGGAGCTTTGCTTTTCAGAGCTTCTTGTCTCCTTTAGGCCTTTATCATCTCTGAGCCTATCTAGTGTGATAGGGAATAAAATACATAGAATCAATACCGTAACCCACTTATCCCTACCTATGCAGGTGACTCACATACCTCCTAGAACTTTGTACAATGAACCATTGCTTAACTTGGAAGCACAGGATGTCATAGCAAATTGCTAATATTTGACACTACAAAAATCTGAATTTGAGAACCTGCCTTGGAGATAGATTTCTCTTATACCTTTTCTATTTTGTTCATCATCTTCTATTCCATCATTTCTTTCCTTCCTTAATCTGGAAGGTACATAGGCTTTTGGAAGGTCAGGGATATTAGCATAGATGTCTTCAATTGACTCTGTAAAATTAATATTAATTCAAAATACATTCAGAATATATTTACAATAATGGGAAAAATTTCAGTGGGCTTATCAAAAAAATATCTTAATTAGACATAGAATAGACTGCTCAGAAACATACCTCCTGGTGTTTCTTCCTTTTCTACCTTCACAGACTGTAAGAAAAAATAATTCTCCATGATTAATACAGTTTAAAAAATAAATTCTAAATGTGGATATACTTTGAATTGTATACTGTTTGTGGGCTCACTTTGAAAGGGAATCATAGTTTTAATATCAATTAATACTCACCCTTATTATGTCTTCTGTTGTCCTCTCAATTGATTTCAGTTTCCTTAAAACGACCTCTTCTTTAGTTGAGATTTGCAGTTCAGCCTTTTCGAGATCTTGGATCTCTTTTTCAAGTCTGATGACAAAAAGATATATTTTTTATTGTTTAAGGCAATACAAATGTAGAGTTCTTAAATATATCTTCCGCATATATAAAGTTTCCTTGGAATGTTGCATGTAAGTATCTAGGTGCCTTCTAAGACTATAGCATCACACCACACATCATATTTAGTATTGTATAATACATAGAAGGTACCTAATACCTGACTTTATTTAGCAATTTTCAAGTTTTTAATTATTTTTTTTCACAGAAGGAATTCTTATGTAAAGTATTTGACCCTTACCCCATTTTATTCTTTGCAATTACTAATATTACTTCCAAATGAAACACAGAAATTTCTTTTATAAAGAGACAAGTTTAAAGTTGAACCAAAGGGAATAGTGCATTTGTAGTTACCATGTAGTTCACCAATTTTTCTTACCCAAGTCTCCATGTAAATTATTTGGAAANTTTTTTTTTCATTTATCTTTTGAATTGACTGAATCACTTTAATTATGGTGATAAAAGGACCAACATTAATAAAAAACCTTAGTGTGTATTAGCCTATGAGATGATCAGAAAAGCCGAAAGCAAGAGGGTTTGTTAACGACACAGAGAAGATTTTCACATGACTAAGCAGCAGCGGCAAGCCTTGGCATTTTTATTACCTGTTAGGGATGGGTCCTCGGTTCCATCTCCAGCTGTCTGAACACCAAGTGGAGAATGGCGGACAGGGCTGCCTAAACTTTCTTCTTGCTCTTTCAGGGATATGGAATTTTTGTGGGGAGATTTATGGTTTGCGTTTTCATGGGGATTAACTTCTGATCTCTTCCTAGGAAGTGGTGTTGGCTTAGCAGGCTGGTAAACCTGACTATAGGGAGCTATGGGATGGTAGGATGGTTTCTCAGCTTCGCCTTCAGCCTCCTCCTCATCATCAATCACAACCAGTTCAGCATGGATGACCCCGTCATACCCCGTCAGAAGCTTCTTTTCTTCTTCATTGTCCTCTGCCTGCTGATACCCCATGAAAATCATCGTCACGGGTTCTCTCTCATCCATGTCAGAAGGCAGCGAATGAACGATATTATATCTCACATCTTCCTCATCCTCCTGACAAGTAGGAGAAGAACCCTGGCATTCTGATCTCCCAACGAGTGCCTCACTGGGACTGAGTCTTGCCTTTGGAGAGGGTGCATACTTGTCCTGCATCACATTTGATTCTTCCCAAGGTGTCATCAGCTTCTTTTGTAGGGCATGGGGCATCTCCTCTGCTTGTTGAGTCAATGATTGGGGATGAGATATTGGCCGAACAGGACTGACATGATTGAAGCTGTTGCCCCTCTCCTCTGAAAGTCCGTTGTCCATATGGTGTTTGGATTCATTCAGATCGTTACCCAGTCCATTAGCTTTAACTTGCATCCTTTCTTGAAAGTTTGGTCCAGGACTCACCTTCTCTCTCTGTGGAGTTGTAGGCCTGCAAAATGGATTGGCATATACAGGCTCGTGATATTCTGTTGGGGATTTAGAGTTTCTCTCCGAAGCTTGTCTTAAGAGTTCCTCTACCTCAACCGGTGCCAGGCCGTCAGTGCCGTTGAATGTTGCATTGCGATTAGAGCTTACTGCATACACCGACTTTTGCCCATCATCATACACTTTTATTCCTGAACCTGTAAAGTCATCTGATGGGAGAGGTATTGAAGACAGGACTGTACTTTCTCCAGTCTTCAAGTCTTTTTCAACTTTAATTTCCATGGCATACAAAGCTGTCGAGAGACAAATTTGATCTTAGATTTCGTTAACTTTTTTGTTTGTAAACTAGTCTGCTTTCACAGTGTTTATTTTTATATTAAGTATGCCTTTTGATTTTTTAAATGGGGGGTGTCTATTTTTT